TAGGTCGAGCGCTACGAGGTTCATCTTCAAGGCTGAAATCTCCAGAACGAAATTTGTCGGTTGTCACACGGTGCTTTCTCCAACACTATCGGGTCTCCATACCTGGTTAATCTGTTGAGCTGTCTCGATAGCGGAGTGACCCAATTTGTAGTCGAAGAAAAATATCGCCCGAAGTTGCTCTTTTGACATGCTTCAAAAAATCTTGGGGAAAAGGGGGTTTATCAGGCAATGGTGAAACGGCAATTATACCATCAGATAGCGCAAAAAAATTCTCTTCAGGATGTACTACTGAGACGCAAGGGAGAATGAGTTTTCAATCAGCTATGAATGTCCAAAAAATAGTAACACAAAACGCTGAGAACTTTCCGGACAACCTAATAGCTTATGAGAGGGGGAAATTCGCGAATTTCTGCACACTCCTGTAACGTTACCAGATGCATTTTGAAAACACATCTTGCACGAATCGGTATACCCACCCGAAAGCTTGTTCCGCTCAAACAAACTCATTTTTCCTGGCTTATAATCTTCGTAGTTTCCTCCACTAAATGCGGTCCAGTTCAAAAAAAAGAGCAAATGGCGGAAATGGAGTTGGCGGTATTTTGTAGTTTCAAAAAATTTACGGGCTTTCGAAAAATGCTGCACTCAGAACTGCAGTGCTGGTTCCTCATATGCAGGTAGTCAATGTACCGATGCAACCTTTCTCAATGAAATACTAGGAGTGAATTTCGCTCATGAATTCTGGAGAGAAAATTCGTTTCTGAGCTTGGCGAACTCTTATACGCCAGAGGAAAACATTTGTGCTCGGCGGGAGCAACAGAAACCAACCTGGACTTGATGGACTTTGCACTGAAGAACCACCCCGTCAATGAGTAGTTGGGATCCTTTTTTGTACAGCATGGCCGGTACTGCAGCCACACGAGCTGCTATTTTCGTCACTCAAAAGTGGCTAATGCGAAAGTGAACTATGAACCAAATTGCAACGTAGCTTATGCTAAGTCCTTTGTCTCACATGACTTTTATTTCTAACCAGGGAGGTCGTTCAGGACGTGGCGCGTTTTTGAAAACGCTTTTTTGCATGATGTGGGGGTCACGAGCCTAGAATACCAAACTGACGTTAATTTTTCCTGAACGCCTCTGGGAATACCAAAAAAGCAGTGAAAAACAAGTCTGTGGAAACCGATTGCTTTTGAGCCTCTACGGGCTCTAAATCACTTGCAGCTTTGCCCAGTTGCTGCCTGTACGGTCCTTATAAAGGTACTACTGATATCAAAGAGAAAAATAGTCGCCAATGGGGTCTTACTTGTGGCACATAGTTAATAGTCGACGGCTTGTTTTTAAAGGCACCCGTTCGCGACCGCAAAAATTGCGAGAAAGCGGGAACTCGAAATCGGCACATAAAAAGTGCTAAGTTATCTGATATTGCGAGAAGAGGTCAGCAGAAAAAGCAGTCCGAAATATTATACAGAAAGAATAACATAGTGGCACCTAGCTAGTAGCTAGCACCGGTGAGGGTCGGCATTGGGCGCTAAGGTTCTATGGGCCTAATTAGTCAGCTTCTAGTAGAGTTCTTGTCGATTTTCACATTTTAAATAACGCAGCCTCAAAAATTGGCCTTAGCGGATCGTCCCGACCACATTTGAGAGGTCATAGCCTTATTTTATCGCGGAATGTGCGCTTTAAATGTTTCTTCAAGCTAATCGGAGAGAGTAACCAGCAATCAACGAATGGATGGCCGCTAATGGTAGGGCGTGGAGGATTCTCAAGCTGGCGGTGGGGTGGGGTTGATGGTTGACCCCTCGCCTTGTGAGTTTTTCGCATGTTTTTATGTTCCCTTCTGTTCTCAGCTTCCTTTTTTGGCACTGGAGTCGCTATATACACTAGTTTTGAGGGCCATTAAGGGCCCCCTTCTGAGCTCCATAAACAGTTGCGATCGACGACAAGAGTAAGTGCCAGAATCGTGATCAGGACCATTGCGATTACGACCTATTAGGCAAAGCTTTCGGCCAAAAAATAAAAAAGTAGCCGCGATGTACGTAGGCGGATGACGTGTGGGGTCGCCCGGGCAGCCGTATCGCGAGTTTGGTGTCATAAGGTCTATTTCATACTTGGCATGGGCATGGTGGCGATTGCGACACAGGTGAAACATCATCCTGGACTATTTGTCCCCCCCCCCGCGACTGGCCCGCGTCGAAGCCGAAATGTCGTCCTCCAGGGCCCTACCAAGAGAAGCGAACTCACCGATTCCCTTCTGAACTTTTTTCAATGACACGCCCTGGAGGAATGTTGACCATTTCTTCTTTTGTTGTCGCCTGCGAGCGCGGTCTATCGGTTTGCTAAGTGTTTTATCGTCCCGTACGCGCTGAATGAGAGGTTTCGGTAACCGCGCGAGCAAAAGTAGACTTCAACAGAAGTTGACTCTTGTGGAGCATAACCCAATACACAAACTCAAAAAGGAGCCAGCCAAGAATTTTTTGGCCGGGGAACTTCGTTGTCCATATAGGGGGCTGACATCATGGTCCTGATTCCACGGGACGCCGGGATCTGAACGCTGTGTGTTCTTGGGCGTTAGGACGGAGCAATCTGGAACCAGAAAGGCCCTAAGAGGCCCTAAACGACGTGCACATAGCACTTCAGTGGAAGAAAGAAGGTGCTCCAAAAGTGGTGATATGGCATAATCGTGATCGGGGCACCTGGAATATACATATGAAAGGATCAACTTTCGGAAAGAGTTTTTGCCTATATGGTAGTCGAAAAATCGAAATTAGTGTGTAGTAGCACCGACATTATGGGATATAAGTTGTTTAGAATGATGCCTCCGTCAATGGTAAGATATCACGAAGTGAAAGAATTCAATCACCAGTAATCGGTAAAGAAAAGCGAGAACAGACGGAACATAAAGGTGAAATGCAAAAACTCACGAAGGCCGAGGGAGTCGGAACCGTCAACCCCCACCACCACTGCAGCTTGAGATCCTCACCCGCTATCAACACTAGGGGGTGAACATACCATCGTCTGTGTGCTGGCGATGGGTACCCTCTCCGCAATTTCTGATTGAAGAAAGGCATTAACCAAGCCGTCATCCGTCTTAAAGTATGCTGCCCACAAGCGTAGAGGACCCACCGTGACGTCGCATTAGGCACCTAATATTTCGCTCTTTGATACCAGCTGAGTACCGAGTTTATACAGGACGCCTCAAGGGCAGCAACTGGCAAAGTGCAAGTGATTTTAGAGCCCTGGAGGCCGAGAAAAAGCGAAATCGTTTCCAACGACTTTACTTTTTCACAGGTCCCTTTGTATGGTATTTCCCGAGAGGCGTTCGGGAAAAAATCGAGAAACGGTCTAGTTTGGTATTCTAAGCTCCGACGTATAAGACAGAAACGAGACAAGAGGGGATTACTTACTCTCAATTTAGGTCATTGCCCATTCCAACGTGCCGCTGGCCTTTTTCTTTGTGGAATAAAACAAAGTGGGAGAATTTAGATCAGGAAAGTGATGGATTTCTGAGCTTGTAGGATGAGTAAATCTCTCACCGAATGACGCCGCTTTCGCAGCGCGCCGAGGCCTTGTGGACGCTCTGGTACCTTCGATTTTTCAACATAAGTGTGAGTAAATGGCTGTGTTGCCAATTTCGGCAAATGAGGCAGAAAGCATTGTACGCGTCTGCGATTTGCGGAGTAGTACTCCTCAACTGAATGGAACAGTTGTAATCGCATGGCTATTAGTGACGCGAATCGGGGGGCGATTGAAGCCCAGGTCTCAGTATTGTTTTGTGTACCGAACACTGATTCTACAATACAGTTACTTGCGGGTCTGGATACTATGACGAGCAACGGTGGCCTTGCCTGTAGTTGTGTGGTAGGCATCCATTCCTGTCGATCTGAATGCCGAGGAACAAGGCAATAATGCACCGACAGTGACGGGATTTGTTTCGTGTATAGAGCCGCTTGAAAGCCACATTGGTTCGAATCCTATTGCTATGATGATCATCCCACTTGCCGCCGCCCACGTAACTATTCATCGGGTAGAAGACTCGGTGGGCGGACCTGTCTCATGCTGCTGTCGATCTCGACCAAAATCTGACGAATATGTGGAGTTTCGGCGCTCGGACGGGTCCGAGGACCCACCCCATATTTCATCTAAGGCCGTGGGTGCGTTGTCACCAGTTGTTGAGTGGACCATCTCATGCTGGAGACAGTTAGTGCTAGAGGTATAGGAATCGCGGATAAGCTGGGGCGTTTGTGCTTGGTATACAGAAAAAGTCGGGTACCGGGCGCATCGACGGAACTGGCGCCAGCGCGCTCGTCTGATCATGCCATACAGTTTATGCGGACACAACTCCGGCAGCAGTGTGCAGCTGGGACATGTCAAGACTCGGCGGGGAGGAACCCAACCCGTCTGCGAACGGAGGCAGAGGGTCGCAGTTGTGCGTCCTGTGATGCAGATAAAGTTCAGTGCGCCGCAGCGTGACTTGGCATGCTCACCCTTCTTTCCTTGTAGGGCGCGATGACAATTGATCGGGAACATCCACGACAACAAAGAAGCGTGATTTTGTTCTTGTCATTGCCATTGTACGTAGCGTCGCTGTGAACCACAATCTTCCACCGTGTATTTCGAGAACACGCGTTACACCCAACTATGATTCCGCGGCGCAGCGGTCAAATTATTGAAGGCGCGAGGCGGCGACTTTCCTCTTATGTACGTCAGCTTTGAAAACCGGCGGCAGCGATTTTCACGCATCGGGCCTCTTTTCAATTTCCTCGAGAAATTCTCTGAGGCTAGGTTCGGCCAAATTTGTCACAGATGACACACAGCTTAAGGTACTCAGCTTCCAAAGGTATAGTAGCCTATGCTCTATCCCCTTTGCTTTTCTGCCCATCCCTCTATATGTAGGCGGCAAGGTTTGAATGGGATGACCTAATTATATGCGTCACAAGTGCTCCTCATTGTATCAAAAAAGGATTTTTGGTCACACTTTTACTGCAAAAAAATCAATCTGAAATTTGTGGCGTTTTCCAGGGTGGCGATGTAAGTCGCTGGATCTAGAAAGTCGCAAGCGATATGAAGAGCTTCGGATAGACATTCGAAAATTAGGCGGACGAATTGTAGACACAATAAACGAGGACAAATTGCCTTTTGTTGTTATATCTGACCATCCAACTGCTACTCGATTAGAAATGATGAAAGGGATCTACACCAAGAATACAGTAAGTTGATCGACTTCTTCAACCTTTTGGTTTTCACTTATTCCCATCTCCGATAACTAGAATCCCAGACGCAAGTCCGTCAGTCCGTTAGTGGGGGGAGGGGACATTTGAAGGGCTCTTCTTGTCAATTCGGGATTGCCTCAATGGAGGTGAGAATTTGCTGCAGTCTGGGGGTAAGGTGAGTCAGTTTCCTTGTGTGAGGAAAGATTTCACTCCGCGTTATTCGCTGTTTTACGGGAGCCCTTCGAATGTCCCCGCCTACTTCCCTATTTTGCCTCAAAGTTTCTAAAAAGTTATTTGATATATGATGTTTGTAAAAAGTCAGCATACTGTGCTATCAAATTTTTTCTGTTCTTAGCGCATTGGAGACCTACCTCTGCTCTTAAAAGAGGCCGTACGTTGCCATGTCAAAGTGCGATCGTATGTGACATTTCAAGAGCAATTCACACGGTTCAAAGCACGGATTCGTGCTGCGAAATCGTTATCGAACGCGCCGCAGAAAAGGGTCTCCAAAGTGGAAGAGGTGCAGGTGAGCATTCCGCTAACATTTTGCTTTGCTGTACTATTTTTTCCTTCTCCATAAACGAGTTGATGGTTCAGCTGTTTTGGTTTGCGAACGCTTGTTACTCAAGTTTTTCTCAATTCGGAGTTCATAAAATTTCAGAGAGGAAAAAAGGTACGAAGGTTAAGGAAACCGTTCATCAAATGGCAGGATAGTCGAAAAGTTCATGCTCCATCATACAAGGTATGTGATATTTTTACCTGAAATCTTCATTGTCAGATGTTTGCAAAATTTTCCAGGAGTGTTCCACGCCGCGATGGACCACGGTGTATTTCGGGCCGGCTGCTGGAAACTGTGTATTTCGCCGTGTGACAGCCGAGCAACTGGAGAAGAGGTCACGTTCTAGCAGAACTGTGTGGTTGCTCATCTATCGCTCTCATTTTGTTACAGAAAACAAAGAGAAAATGAGGCATTGATTGAAGAAGATTCTGATCCGCCTAGTTCACCCGGTAGAGAAAGAAGTGCTAAGTCCGGGAAGTCAGTGAAGGTAAGAGTCAGCAGTTTTTTAAAGATTATTTCCTGTTTTATGTTCATGTTTTGATTTAACCAAGCGCAGTGGTGGACTATTTTTGTTATTCTCTCTTCTCATTAATACGATTTGTTCTTAGATGAATCGCACCGTGAAGACTCCAACGAACAAGTTTTGTGATCTGTGCGGTAAAACTTTCGAGGATATGGAACAGGTGACCATATTACTTTACCTAAAATCCATGATCGCCTGGTAGAATCCTTTTCGCGTATGCGATGAGCAGGTCAGCAATCCGCCTTTTTCCGATCCCCATAGTATACAGATGCCCGCTTTAATTGCTTGTGAGGTTATAAGCTTTGCCCTCACCCGCGACTGCCTAGTCTCTCGGTCGCTCTCGCTGAGCATCTTTGCTTCTCTATCCACAGCGTGCTCATCCCATACTGAAATCATCCGAATCCCGTTTGGGGCGTTGTTTGAAGTCTTCGCTCCTTACAAATTTATTTTGAAATTGAATCGTCCACGAACGAGTCGAGTGAATCCCCTGGTGGCTTGATCGCTGAATTTTAGAATTCGAAATATTTTCTAAATCTGATCAGATTTTCTTGCAGCACTACGAGTCCAGGGAACATGCAGTGACTGCAACGCGCCCTGGTGTTTATGATGAGGTCGATATGTGCACGGGAGCTGTTGTTGATTATGTGATTGTGAGTGTTTTGCTTCCAGAGATTCAATCGCAGCACACATAGGTTTACTGTAAGTTTGCATTGTAAGTATGTTGCTACGGGAGTTTACGCGGGCTGGGGATGAGAATACCGGTGAAACAAGAATGTCTGGTTCTTCCCAAGACTGAGTCTTTTTGGCAAAAGGTCGCTGTCTTGCTGGACAGGCGGCACACACCAGCGTACTAGCGCTGCGCTACCGCGCTCTCACCTCCCACTTCCCTGGGTAGCACCGCAAGCTTCGGTTTTCTTGGCGACCAGATATATTATAACTCATGTTTTTTTATTACAGTTTTCTTCTTTACCCCTAGTTTGCTTCCTTTATGATTCAGTGTCCCGCTGCGCCATCATTTGTACGAATGCCAGAAATAGTCCCCGACGAAGACGAACCGATCTTTCCATTTGATAGCACATGGGAGTACGAGTATAGTGAAGGCAACTATCAGTGTACTTTGCTGAATACGAGGTCTTAATAGAAGGTGCGAGGATAAGCTGACGGCCACATCTGTCTTGACACTTTTGTATAGCTCATCATCATCATCATGAGGTGGCCTTCTGTACATATCGGTTTGTTTAGTAAAATCAGTTTCGAACTTTTGTTCTTAAGAGTACTGTGATATTGAGGTATTGCTGAAATCTTTGGTATACTCTCCTTGCATGGCATTGCTCTTCCTGAACTACTGAACTGATAGGAACAAAGCGAGCCGAAATTTTGATGACTCCATGCCAGGAGACTCTGCCAAATGTTTTCGACCTTGCCATTGTTTGCTTGTGTCCGGGCCAACGTACGCTAGTTACTCTCCTGATACATGGATGAAGTTTCTTGTTTCCTATACGCTGCCGCCTTTCCCTTCTACTAGGTAGCGTCACGCTGCTTGAACGGTGAGCTTGCTTCACCATATGCTCAATTTGACCATGTACGTGTTCGTCGCGTTCATCGTTTATTTTTGTTTGTTATAGTTGTGCATTTTCCAAAATTTTGCTTTTGTGTAGGATTTCATTGTGCTCATGTCGTATAGGCCGTTCTATTTTGAGCCGGAACTATTTTAGTACTGTTGACTGATATGGGTCCCCTTAGACTGTTTTGTGCCTTTCGGTTGCTGTACATGAAATCGGGTTCTGCTGGATCCATCGTGTTATAGGTTGTGAGTGAATCTATGCTTCTCAAAGCGCCTTCGATAAAGAGATTCTGATTTTCCATTAATTTTTTATTGGTTAAAGAAATTAAAGTGTATTGGTATTTTGGTGAGTTAAACCACCCCCAACAAGTCAATGTTTCGTGGTGTAGTTCATTACTGCATTGTATCGCATCGCAAACCAGCATTCTTAGATAGTTGACTCGGCATAGCACTTCGGCGTCATTACACTCGGGTTATGGCAACCTCCGTTCTATATACTTTTCACTCGCTTATCCGAAAAATCGACATATAGTGAATACCAAACGAATTGCAGGTGTTGAAGATCCCTCTCGAGCTGCGTTTATTACTCGATAGTTTTAATTGCGAACTATCTTTCATTCTAGCCTTTCCTGAGCGAGCAGGTCTCGAAATGTTTTTTTTTTGACCATTTCAGGCTCTAGCGAAGGCGAAGACGTCGAAACGTAGGCCTTCAATAAAGTTGCTCAATTTTGGAAAGGCTAGAAGAAATACAAGGACTATATACATCATGCTAAGATTGCAAGAAGGTCGAACATGGACTACCTTTCATTCACTTTGTCAGCGTTTATCTTCGATGAGCAAGCGCTTTAGTCACACGATTGCGGCCTACAGCGCTCCTCCGCTAGCCTGTGGATGGCTGCAAATGAGCAATAAAGGTGCTTACTAGATGTTATTGGATTAGCAGTCACAGCGTTCAACACTCGCATGATGTGTGGATCGAGCCCTTAAATCGCTCAGATTGCGAAGCATAATCGCGGCCCCAACGGTTCTCAAAACCTAAACTAGAAGAAAAACTATAGGCCGAGTATTGTGCTGTCTCGGAGCCTCATGGTTGTCTGAGTGTTTGAAAACATTAAGAAGTTCAATAAAGCTCATCCCGAAGAGTTCAAAAGACGATTCAAAATGCGAGCCAAAAATCCTAGATTTTTCGAACCCATTGCGTATTTGAACCCTTTGGGGTAATTTTTTGGACGCTTCTCCTTGTTTTTAAATATTAAGGTATCGACTGTTGAAGCTTCTCAGATGAAGCTATAAAGTAAATGGTTTTGGGAAAAGTACATGACCTTCTTGAATTGACGTCAAAGTGCTGTGTTGAATACAAAACGCACGGACTCGTCAGCGAGGCGCGTCCTCGGCATGTCCGAAGCCCCCGGCAACGTGACTTAGATACCCGGGTGGGCGTGGCCACAGGGGAAAGGCTTCGAAATGGACCGGTGTTTCCCAAATTTGTGCTGCAATAGATATTAGACGGGAGCACCGTTTACAAGGTAAACGTTCCTATTGTCTTCAAGGGTGCTTAATGTTGATTTCATGATCATACGTAAGACCTGATAACCACTTTTTCGCCTCTGAATGTATACCTTTGCAAAAAGCATAAATTTCAATCTAAGTTAATTCTTCCTCTCGGAATTTCTTAGTTCAAGCAGTAGAAACACACAGCGGTTTAATAGAAGGAATTATCGTCTCCCAAGCTCGAGGAGAAGCGCCTGAAGCCTAATTATACATGCGTCACGTCAAGCCAGTCGCCTATTTGGCCGACGCCCACCGGGTATCTAAGTACACGCAACCGCGAAGCCCCCAGCCGTCAAAGCGTACCGGTTTCCCCGTCGGGGATGGGATTCAGGACCGAAAGAGGTCAATTCTTCCATGCTCAACGTAAAATGCAACTTGCGGCGGCGCAGACGTGCTGAAAGCCGCTTCAGTACCCCAATACCGTTTACACTGTCGCCATTTAATTATAAGTTCAGGTTGTCAGGCTGCGTACAGTACCACCGAATGCGCGTGAGATCAAATGTATTGGTCGTGAATGCACACAATGGGACTCGGGACTGCGTGGACCATTTGTAATCTGGCCGCGGGGCCAGTGAATGCCTGGGTCGGGCGGGTCGCTGCCTGGGTGGCCGCCCCACCCCGGAGCTTCATTCACGGCCAATACATTTGATCTCACGCGCAATTTTCGGGGGTACTGTAGGCAGCTGACAACCTGAACTTATAATCTTGTCTGACCGCCATCTGCGCAGCGCTCCTGGCCCGTTGCCAAGTAATTGCGCTTAGTCTTGTAATTGTCTTGTAATACAAGTAGAACACGAACTCCTATTGCGGATAACATTTGAGGTGTTGCTCATGGTGCAAAGTGCGAATCGAAGATGATGAAGAGAGCCAGAACTCTAGAGCAACTGTGGTGCTTTTGCCATCTCCGAAAGCGCGCATTCCCACCAAACATGGAAATAAAAGCGGCCTAAGCGTCTCACTTGTTTATTCAAAGTCTTTTTATGGCTTTGGAGCAGGAACCGCGCCAAATTTCAAAAATTTACACCGGTTTCGAACTAATTTACATTCACTTAGATTTTTTATTTACAATTTATTCACCTCTACATTAGTTACTCTTCAATTCCAGCCTTCCTCGTCTTCATCATCTTCGATTCGGACTTTGCAGCATGAGCAACACCATAAATGTTGTCCGCATATGGAGCTTGCGTCATAACTGTATTCAATTCTAGTCGCAATTACAAGCCTTGGCAAAGTGCCAGGAGCGCTGCGCGCGACACGCGCCGCGCGGAGGCGGTCAGTATAAACAGGATCGGAATATTGCGGCAGCGTTCATATCTGAGCCATAAGTTGCATTTCAGGCGGAGCATGGAGGGTTTAAACTATCCCACGGTTCTGGATCCCCATCCCCGCGCATGTTCGAACAGGAAAACCGATCCGCTTCGACGGGGCTCGTTAGCCACGGACATGACAAGGACGCACCTCGCAGTTGAGCGTCGTTGTGTCTTTAAGTCAACTAGATAGGATCAGAAACTGGTTTGTGTACGATGCCACAATCAGATTTTCTCAACTACAACTTCTCCCCTTATTCCTTGGCAGGAATGGCACAGTTTGAATGAATCAGCAGTGCTACGCATGCTAAATCGAAATAATCCTTGACTCTACACTTTTGTGGGATATAATAATACCGTTAAAGCAACAATTGTGGGAAGTATCTTCCAGTTGTCCTTAGATTCTAAGAAAACTCTAGAATGATGGGCGGGATCAGCGTGTGACTTTATGGAAACTGAAAAATTTATTGAAAATCACCAAATTCTACAGAAATGCATGATTAGGAAGCTATTAGGAGATAATACAAGATTCCATGAATAACGAAACCGTTCAAGGAAACACATCACAGAGAAAAGAACATCTATCAGTGAGTAGCGCTGTCAGAACTGCGGAATAGGATGCAGAAAAGCGATATGGTGAATAGCGAATACGCGTAGAACAGGAGAGATACACATATTATATCCCTCAAGTCCGGTAGGTAAGTCCGGGCGACATCGCAACCGCCACACACTCGAACAGTAAACGGGATGCTGTAAGTGGGAACCGATTCTCATTTCCAAAAATTTTGATTTGGAAAATACACCAACAGAAGATGTGACCATAAAAAGAGAGTGAAAGCTGGATGGTTGGAGAACTGATTAGGGATCGAATAATAGAAGTTTGGAACGAACAGCAATGAGGGAAGACCCTCCGAGAAAAGAGTTCATAAGAATTTTGAAAATGCGTTTAAAGACAGCCCCCGCGCTCAAGTAGTACAGGTTCGCCCTTCCTTGTGCAGATAGTTCAGCACCCAAGCTAGATACTGTCCCACTCTCGCGACTCCACAGTGAGCGAGGAGCGAGCTACAGCCGCTCAAAGTTCTAGTTCTAACGCCCGCCCAGTCGGACCGCCCCACTTGCTAGCTGCCCTCTGACGGAGAGCCGCTCAGTTGTTCTTTGTTGGGACGGCGGACATTGATCGTAACTGCATGTATTTTTTGCTGACCGCGCTCGTGCCCATTAATAATTCAGCTCTCCTTCATCACATTTTATTCATAGTCAACTGCAACCCATCTCGTGAGATAAAACGCGTAAAAATCACGAATGATGCAATTTCTGCGGCGCAAAAGCTCGACATGCACCAAAAGAGCCGCACACTTCAGTAACCCCAAATTCGGACCCCCCCCCCTTTTTGAATTTCTCTTTTCAAGTGTTTTTCGCTCTTTTTTTGTTGTTTTTCATATTATTTTCTTTGAATTGGATGTTGTCCACTAGTGGAAAATGCCATAAAGCGATTTGTGAGCCAGTGGTTGCCCACGGACCGCAGGGCGGTGTAACTGTAAGGGAGTAATTTTGTTTATGGCGTTCTTGAGGGCCCTTGTTGCTTTTTTTCTTCATTGAGGAATTACTTGCCACTGTTTCACAATTGATCAGCAATTGTCCTTAACACTTTTATCGCGGGAGCTGTCTTTAATTTCGTTCATTGTGAAGACAATGACGTGTCAAAAAATAAATTCAAGTCAATCGAATGTATATTCACCTGTCAGAAAATCGAAACTGAAGAAAAAAAAACAATGGAATACAAATGGGATGTGCCATTAGGTTGCGTTTCTACTTGCGACACTTCAGACTAGAAGGATGACAATACAAAAATCCTCTAACAAGCCCTGAGTCGTAATCGACCCTAATTTGTTGTAACTTTCCCATGAAGTTCCTTTTTGAAATTCCTTTTGAAAGAGCTTCTAATAGAGTGAAGAATACTCTTCACGTTGTTTGCTGTTCTGTTATCTAAGAACATCAAATATTTGTCTCATCAATACCACGATCATCCACTATTTACTGTTTCGTAAATCTTCTAGTGATGCCTTCTGCAAATCAACTTTTTTAACTTACAGCGTCCCATTTAGTGTTCGCGCGCGCGGCGATCGCGATGCCGCGCGGACTATTCTACTGGACTTCAGGGTACATTACATAGAGTTCTTTCGATTAGTGGATAGAAAAACGGACTTATACAGCTCTGCATCAAGGACTGTAACAAAGATATATAACAGTTAACTAAAATATGATCGCTTCAAACAGGTAAGAGGCCCGGCACCCGACTTGTGACGGAATCGCGCACGTGGGAAGCCATGCCCCCCTTCGAGCTTGAAAAACCTTGACAAAAGAAATATCTGTTGAAAGCGAGATGGAAGAATTTCATGTTTATCAGCTTTCAGTTTCTCCGCGAAAATTCTGATTCGGTCAAAATGCAAATTAGATGAGATACAAAGAAACCTACCTATGAAGACCTTATGGTTGTCTTGATTATAGCAATGGAAAGCCAATAATGCTCAGCAGCGTGGGTTGCGCATGTCAGAACTACATGGCGAACGGACAAAGACAATCCCTTTTTTTACAAATCCACACGATCTATCATATCAAGGTAGTAGGCCAGACTCAGTTGTTCGATCGCAATAGGTATGTAATGACCTGGCCAGAGACAGTTATGTTTGATCGCAATAAGTAGATAACCATCTTTCTTGGGAACAAGTGCCGCATCGCATCGTCGCGCGCGTCCAGTGCCGTTGGCCCTAGACATGACGCTACGAAGACTGCGCACCTCAATGAAAATAGCGTCGTTGTTCCCTGCTATTGCAGAAAAGTAAGAATAAGATATAACAACCACCGACGAGATCTAGCAGAACTAAACCAGACATTTAACGTTATCGCAAAAGAGAAGATCATCTAGAAATGGTAATAAACTAGCACAGAGTTATGTCAAGAGCGCATAAAAACTAGTAGGTCATGCTTGAATGGAGAGAGCTAAATCATTACAGAGTACATTAGATGATCGTCAGTTTTCAAATCTACCGGTTATTTCTAAATGCAAGTAAATCTATGTATGGTACAGCGTGTAAATGGCTTCCCTAGCAGGCATTGACGTGCTACAATTCACTCAATATAAGTAGCATAACAGCGAAAATTCTAGAAAGTAAAGTCGCGCTCATACTTCGCAACTTGAGCAATTTGGGAATTACGAATCCGTTCAGCGGCCAGTGGTTAAGCACGACCGGTCTCAAGCTAGAGTCTCGAAGTATGAACGTAGCCTTAGTCAGTCTGTACGAAGATACACTTCCATTATGCAACAATTGCTGGTCACTCCTCTAGTCAGCGCTTGACTCGGTAGTAAGCTGATGCAGACTTTCTTCCTCAGGCAAGGGGCGACGTTTCCAACGTGGATTCGCCACCAGAACTAGTACGCATAGGGCATAGAAGAATACACACACTCCGAGCAGATTAGCTACCAACTGCTGACCGCATAGCTCACGTCCTTTCGTCCAGCACCTAGAGGCTACTTCTTGCTACTTTGCACAAACTGCTTATTGAATGTCATTAAAACAGCAATCTCAAACAGCTGAAATATTCCGGAATACCGACTAAGCCGCAGGGGGATGAAAGCGGTATGTGCTTAGGGTACAGCACGGTGATGTGTGAAACGGCGGTTTCGTACGACCGCCTCATCCCGAGGAACGGTCGCGGTCGACCTCCCTCCTTTCCGTTTCTGATTGTTTGCTCTGATGGGAAGGATTAGATACGTAACGATTTGCAAGCGCTCGCGGCCGCGTTGAGGTCTCAGCAAAATGGCGCTGGAGCACATTTGAGCCTTAAAATTTTCATCCGAAGTGGCTCTTTTCGACAACTTCGCCGATTTGAGCCATTTCATGGCATTTTTGCTGCATCTCCGTCCGGGTGCGTCGTTAGGGGAGGAAACTCGTCCAAAGGGAGCCTCCTTGCCCGTTTTTTCGCCAAGTGTGTCGTTAGGTCCGCCCCCTGCCCCGCCCCACGCCGCATTCCGCACCGCCCCGCCGCGAGAGACCGCCGCGCGAAGAGCGGGAAAACTCGTCCGATCGCGCGGAAAACTCGTCCAGCCGCCGTCCCAGTGAGCCGAGTGTGTCAGTGGGCCCGGCCCGCCCGTGCCACCACGTCCCGAATCAAGCCCCGCCTACCCCGAAATCTGCCGCGGAAAACTCGTCCAACAGCCGCGGAAGCCAAAAGAGCCCCGGAAAACTCCTCTAGTGGGGCACCGAGTGTGTCAGTAGGTTCGCTCGTCCCCCCCCCCACCTCCCCCCCCCGCGCGACAGACCCCGCCACCCGCAGCGAGATACGCCGCGAGCGAAATCCGCCGCGGGAAACTCGTCCAAACGCCCCAGTGAGTGCGTCCGAACAGCCAAAAGAGCCGGCTTCGAGGGGAAAACTCGTCCAGTGCTCGTTAGGTCCGCCCGCCGTCCCCAGGTGAGGCCGAGTGGGTCAATAGGTCCGCCCACCGCGACAGACCCCGCCCCATCGCCCGCGACGCCCCGCCGCGCGCGGAGCAAAATGGCGCTGGGGCACATTTGCTGACATGGTGAAAATCGCGAGACTTCTAGTGCGGGTGATACCTTTTTCGAATGCGAGGCATTTGAGAAAAGGGGCGGCTTATCAAAGTGATGTGTCTAGTGTTGGGTTTCCTTACTCCCTTTTATCTGAATCATTCCTTGTTTTAGAAATATTTCTAATGAGTCTTAAATGGTAAGTCGCACGCGAATTTCTATGTATCGGAAAAAATAACCCTTTTTGTACGTAATATTCTGCAAATCTGAAAGCAGCTCTATATAGCGCAGATTCCCTCCTTCCGAAAATTATTACAGTTGTTTCAGAGACCCACCAGTAGAGTATATTTCAGATGGGTTTTTGATGTTTGAAATTTCGGGCCATTAAAAAGCGCGACTGATTGTGTGCCATTGTGAGAGCACTCCTTTGGAAACTTTGATATGCTTTTAAAATGCATATTCCGTTAAACCGAGTGAAAGCATGGTTAGATTATTATCGATCGATTCAGTTTGGGTGTGCGCTCCCATGCAGAGTTGGTGGAAAGGTGTAAGTTCTATTGGCAAGTGATTTTTCTGCATATATGCGAATGTTTCCATAGAGCCTGGAAAGATCGAAACGAACAAATCCGTTTGTGTTGCATTATTGATTCATCTACGTACTTACTAAGTTATGCAGACTGTTAATATTATAAGTTGAATATTTAATCTTTTGTAGTCATCCAAACATCCGGGTCCGCTACAGCACTGCCTCCGCTCCACAAAAACCTAGCATTGATACTTTTGTGGCGTTTGGTGCTCACTGATTGGCGTTTACGACCTCCCCCTCTCCTTAGCGGCCATGTACGACCCCCCTTGACGGGTTTCACATAACGATGCTGTAACCTGCATGTGCTTAGCGAGGGGCGTCTAGCGATCGATACGGTAGCTTATTACAGGGCACAGCGTTGATGGGGATTCCCTATGGGGGAGGGGTCGTATTTGGCCGCCAAAAGGGGAGGGGTCGTATTGGGCTGGAAAAATTTACGCTTTGCGGACGTTTTGGAGGGGGGTCGTATTTGGTCGTTGTTGGGAGGGGGGGGTCGTAATTCTGGCTAGGAGTTAACGTGGTTCACTTCATGAGTTTTATGACTTTTCTGTGTTATAGGTACTATGACGCCTGTACGATGTACGTCGCATGCCTACTACACCTCCCCCCCCCCCCCTCCGCTCGAACAACTTTTTCGCCGAGTATAAACCACAACGCACAGTCAGGCCATGTCAGCCATCGTACGAGCATGGGGGGGGGGTCCGTACCAGCCCCTGAAAAAAAGGGGGGGGTCGTAAAAGCTAGACCGAAATCCCATCGAATGCTGTGGGCCATGGCTTATTAAAAGGAAGGGAGCTCCGGGGTAAGTGAGCCACTTCACTTCGATTTTCACAATGGCAAGCGATCGCCTAGTTTGGAGATCTCTTTCCCTTGAATATTGGCGAGCAACATTGGCACAGTTGCTCTTGCGAGGCACACAGCGCCCAAAGTAATAAAAAGACGCTATGCGAACAACTTTTTCTAACTCACGTGTGATTCCACGCTGCACGTTCCAGATTCCACTACCACTGTGAGCTGTTAGCGGCGATGAAGATGATTATACCGAAAAGCTGATGGAATGGCATCACCAGTTCGCGGATCGGAATAGATAGACCAGGAGCGAAGAATGACACGAAGCCGATAAGATACTATGAACTCACTATGGCTTTATGAATCACGTGAAAGAAAACAAAACAAATAAAATAAGAACATCGAAACTGGGTGCGTGCCAGGAAATCCATGTTGCGGGCACATTGAGGAAGGGAATAGCAGCATGGGTGTGTGGCTCACCAAAGTAATAAAAGCGATGTCGCGCGCAGACTAGCAGAATATTTCGCTAGCTGAGCAAATTGAGGCGCTGCATTATCCCATGTTGAATAGTCAATTTCTAGGCGAATGATCCCGTTAGCAGGCGCCTATTTTGCTGCCTCCGCCACGGCTCAGATGCGCTCGACCGGCGTTGATCTGGACAGAATTTCGAGCACGCGACGCCAACACACCTTAGGGACATTCATACTTCGCGACGTTGAGAGTATAGGTGAGTAAAGGAATGCGCTTTAAACGAAGGTGTAAAGTACCGATCTGGTGGCATTCGAGAAAGCGTAGAGCAGGAGGTTGGGAAACGGGTGCTCAAAGGTAAATGGAATCGATCGGCTCCGTCGCTAAGCGAGGCTGGATTAATGGATAAGGAAAGGCGAGAATAGGCGCAAGGAAGTGTAGGTATCAATACGGTTAATTGAGAAAAGCGTCGAATAGAAGAACAGAGAATGCACGCCCTACGAGTGGATGTGAACCGGTCTATTTCATTTTTCCAACCCGCCAGCTTGATACTTACACCTTTTAGCGCAATTTCTTTNACCCCCGAGTAGCAAAATATGAGCACGGTCTCATTTGGATCTCCTTAACCACATCCTGAAGCTGAAGTCAGGAAATAATGGTAATAAGAGGAATATCCTCGAGTGGGAACAGGGTTCATCATTAGCTGGGAATTTCGGTCGAACCCACGCGACCCCTCCCCCTTCCTAGTTCCCTCCTCTAATACGATCGAGCTATCGCTATCTATTCCTATCGCCAACCCCTAAAAAAGTGGGGGGGGGTCGTACAAAGTCGACGAAATCCTCAACTAATGATGTGCCCTGGTGGGGGAAGTCAACAGCTGGGAAAAATTTGGCTCAGCGCCTCAAAAGAAGGCAGACACGACGCTCACCTCCCCCCCCCTCCCCAACCCCCTACCTCCACTTCTCCCAACAGCGACCAAATGCGACCCCCCTCTCCACCTTATAGCGCCCGTGAAACAAGAAAAATCAGCTATTAAAAATATTTCTCGGACCAAGACGACCCCCCCCCCTGCTGCGGAATCCCCAATGCTAATGCGCCCTGAGCGAAAACATCGTAACTCATTGTTCTTTGTTTTTATAACGAGAATCAGATTCACGATAGACCTGAAAACAAGCTGCACTTTCGTTTTCGTGAATCCTGGTCCAAGCCATGTACAAAGTGAGTAGGTCTGCAGCTGAGGTAGCGTGTTACCTTCTTCGGTTAGAAGAGCATGGGAACAGGAATAGAGGGTAGTAATACCTGAGTGCCGTTTCCATACTCTACCCGCGCTGCTGCACGGCCAGCCACACCTCCTAACCATAGCCAAACACACTACTTGTCCGAGATCCTCTCACTTCTGCTTGTTTTCTACCATTGAGTACTGAGCTGCGGGATCTTGGTTTTTGATGCATATGCTACACATTGAGGATAGCACGAGCTTGGGGGACAACTGGTGATCCCGCAGACCACCCTTGCCGACCGCTTTGGAGCGGACAAAGTGGCGCTTACTGCAGCTGCGAACCCACTCACCTTCCGCATATAAAGGACCCTCCTCGGAGAATGTATAGTTTTCCGTTGAGGATACGCTGTACGCTCACATTCAATCCCGATTCTTGCCATGTGAGAATGAACGGGTTCGAAGCAAAGAAGTGTGTCACTTTCGTTACTCGGAAGTGCGCCAAAATGAGGCTGATGCTAGCCGAACGCCGTTTCGGACTCCACCCAGGGGCAAGTCAGCAGACGAAACGTGGCGCACTACCACACATACGCTTACCTAGAGGCAGACGCACTACTTGTCTGCTCCATGACACGCTTAATTATTTTCCACACTTGGCTGCAATAAGGAACGTGTCGTTCATGTCGTTCGCTGAAGAAGCTTCCTCGACGCGCATGCCGCACATTGCGGATGACGCACGGCGTCAAAATGGCATCCAGCCATTTTTTAACTCCACCTGCTAATGCCAACGTGCGGCGTATGCGTCGGTGCTGATGACCTCGGACTATATTCACTCTACATACGGGGGAATCCATCTTGCAGCTGGGCGTACAGTATTTTGAAGTGCACAATGTAGTGTAATCACTAACTCAAC